CCCCAAAACCCCAAAACCCCAAAACCCCAAAACCCCGTCCTCCTGCTTTCATATTGGATAGTTAGAATCCACTAGAGTATGTCTAAGCATGAAAGCCCCCAGAAATGCTTGCTGAGAACCTATCTGTCACTTCTGGCCTTTGATGCCTTATTCTTCTTTTCATTTGTCTCTTTTAAATATTTCTGTAACAGTTCATGATTGGTTTGGGGGATTTCTAACAACTGGGAATGAGTCATAGTAAAATTTTTGATCAACTTGTCAAACCCGAGGGAGAGATTTGAACTCCTACAATCATTCCTAAGATTATGCATGTGTCAATGCTTGCTGAGCTGAGAATCTACTTTGATGTCCATAAAGATCTTCTTGACCAAATTTAATGTGTGGTCTTTAACCTGAGGTACATCCAATTGCTTATTAGAAGTAACAGTTTTACTCTGGGAGTTATTTACTCCATCACAATTTTCACTTCATTCAAAGTAGAGGGTATCCTCTTTAGGATCTGAGGAGGTACTTCTCCTTCTAGAGTTATCATTCCAAACTGTCCTTCATGGTCTGTATATTTTAAAAGGGAGCTTGAAATCTTCAGGTTTCTTCTGTGCTTCAGGATAAGGGAAGTATTGGTCACTACTTTCAGGATATTCTTTATTTTCTTCCTGATCATAACTGTATTGGCTCGGCCTTGCTTGGCTACTTCTTCTGGAATAATTATCCTTGGATTCTTCTATTGACTGTCCTAGAGAATGCGTCAAACTCGATAAGAAGGGAGCAAAGTATACCTCGATTTAGCTGTGGAGGAGTAGGATCAACTCGTTTCGGATCAAGAGAGAATTCCTCGGCTGCTGGGGTTCTATTTTGTTTTTGTCTTGGACTACTAGTCCTTGACTGATTTTGCCTATCAATCACAAAGACTTCATCTTGAGCTAAAGGTAAGTTCAACATTTTTGAATACCTTCAGGATGCTTGTAAATGAGGTTTCTTTCATCTTCTGTTTGCTCCCGCCTAGCTCTACATAATTTTACAGAAGGACTAATAGATAACTACCTTGGATACTTGTTCCCACGGATTGGTTGCTCTTGGCTCATGCTACTCGATGGCTGTATGTTTGGGCCTCCAATACTATTGTAGTAGTCCAAATGACTTCTCTCGCTTCTAAATAATTTTTAATTATCTTTCACCATGAGAAAATCGTTAAGTTCTTATGAGCTTACCTCGAGGAGTAGGGAGCTGAAGGTCTGTTCATATCCATAATCTGTGGATTTTTAAGCTCTTTTTCCCTTTTCTCCTTATTTCAGCTTCTCTAAGAACCCTAGATACTTCTGCACTGGCTTTCTTTGAATAACCCTTTTTCTGAAGAGGGTAACAAATTTGTTATGGAATGGGAGAAGATCTTGCTTGAGAATCTCAAGCATTTTCTCTTGATATGTAGAGAAAGTTATCTCTCCTTTCATGAAACCACCGAAGAGTTTCTTGTAATTAATAAACTCTTCATCTGTTAGGTCACTCTGGATCTTTTCAATAAGCTGCTTTGTCAGAGGTTTATGGGCTGACATATTTATAATTATTAAATTTTAGGGGTTTTGGGGTTTTGGGGTTTTGGGGTTTTGGGG